TGTGTAGACCAAACGCTATAGTGTAAATATCTGTGTAGACCACACGCTGTAGTAACACCGTTTTGTTTGTATTTCATGTTGCAACGCGGTCCTACTTTTTGTTAAAGAGAATGTAGTAAATACAGTTGTTGAAAATATGTAAAACGTGTTTTATTGAGGACATTAACTGGCATATTCTCTTATGAGAGAAAAAAAAGGCGTTGGATATTGTTTTCAGCACAAAGGATTTCGTAAGTATCACAAATTTTAGCCGTGGTTGCGTCTATGGCGCTCAGCAATGTCTAATTTTGAACTGATAAACTAGAAGAAGGGCAGCTAGTCAACAACACCAACCGTCACTCTTATAGCATAACTACGGCCCCATATAGCGGAGTGTGATTTTGTGGCAACCGGGCCGGAACCTTGAACCCTCGAATTCACAGTCCGGGCACCTTCACCACTAGACCACACCCGCCCCTTAATGATATTAGCAGAATTAATTTTGAAATCAGGTTGCGTGTAAATTAGTGCGACGTATTAAAGAAAGCCCTATAGTGGTCGCTGCATGAACAGTTTTCTGAATGTTGTCTTCATATTCATAACACGACTGCATTCCCAACCTTACCTCGTAATAAGCTAAGGTTTTCTGGAAGGTATTATTTGTTGGTGCACCTTGGTGTCGCTGGTCCGGGTAAAGGAGTTGGAATGCCTTGCCGTAAAATGGAACACCAATTACTAACTTGTGTTTCGGTGCTCCCATGCTTACCCACAGGTAGAGTCCGTCGTTCTAAATAAAATAACGTTCATTATATTTTCTTTGTCAGTACTTGCGCGGAAAATCACCGAAATCTAATGTTAGTTTTTTAATCAAATAGACATTATAATTGAACAGAGTCGTTTAAACATCTGTTTAACAACAAGTAAAAGCTTGGAATGGTCTATCCTTTCATTGAAGGTGAGTGTCTGTGAGCCAGACTAGTTTCGGAGAATTTCACTCCTCATCAGTGACTCCAAGCTTTTACTTGTTGTTAAACAAATGTTTAAACAACTCTATTCAATTATGTACATATAGAATGATAGGTTTCTTTTTTTTGTGAGTGTAAAACACTTAAATACACCACTTAGACATTGTAATTGATTTGAACTTCTCATATTAATTATGGGATAAGCCAGTTATTAAGAAACTTTTATTTAAAAACTGCAGACTGTCGGACGATTCGGCTTTTTTTTTTTTATCCTAGTGAGGACACAAATTATAATATTGGATAGATAGTTTTTTCTTCCTAGAACTTAAATTGTTTTTATTTATAAAATTAGTAAATCACTCTAATGATCACTTCTTTATATTAAAACTGATAAATTCAAATTATTTCCTTTTAATTGAATTTTAGTAATCACTGCAAACTACAGTCATTGTATTTACAAACACAAAAATGACTCTTACCACATTCACATTTTCATAAGCAAATGTATCAAAAGGTCGTCGGTAAAGAGGGCTGTGGACGTCAGCAACACCATCCCAATAGACACGAAGATCATATGTCATAACATTTATCCAATCCAAATAACTAGACAAAAATAAATAAAAAACGTTATTAGTTTGCTTTTAATGTTATATGTCATATGTCATAACACTTATCCAATCCAAATAACTAGACAAAAATAAATAAAAAACGTTATTAGTTTGCTTTTAATGTTTATTTGCTCTTTGACAGCTTATGAGCTCTTATAAAGCTTAAAAATGGGCTATCAGTGCTGTGCCTACTGCATGGATCGAACCTCGAATTTTAGCATTATACGCCCTCAAGATTGCCACTGAGCCACATGGAGACTATTTTGCTTTTCAAAGTAGCATGATTTTACAAGGTTGTCCTTTTAAATTAAACAAACAAACAAATCGAATTAAGCTCTACAGAAATATTTGATAATGTAATTAAATTACGGCAATAAATATTTCATTATGATGATCAACTGATCAAACAGGACACATGAATAAAACTCGGCTTTTAGGCAATCAAAACTATAATTTTTTAAACAAGCCATTACTGTCTTACTGAAAGAGTCAGTAAATCAAGCTTACGATCCTGGTTCAGTTGATTTTGAGGTTACCACCCTAGTCCACCTGAGTTTGGATTAGGTACTGAAGTACTATCTTCCGAAAGAACCAGCTACACTAAATAGCACCTTCCTTAGAAATTTGCTGCACGAAGTACCATTTCCAATAGAGATCCTCTAATACAATAAAAAACACCCTCTGTAGAGACACCCTAACACATAAAACACCCTCTGTAGAGATACCCTAACACACAAAAAACACCCTCTGTAGAGATATCTTAATACAATAAAAAACAACCTCTGTAGAGATACCCTGACACACAAAAAACACCCTCTGTAGAGATCTCCTAATACAATAAAAACACCCTCTGTAGAGATCTCCTAATACAATAAAAACACCCTCTGTAGAGATACCATAACACACAAAAAACACCCTCTGTAGAGATACCATAACACACAAAAAATCACCCTCTGTAGAGATCTCTTAATACAATAAAAACAACCTCTGTAGAGATCTCTTAATACAATAAAAACAATCTCTGTAGAGATACCCTAACACACAAAAAAACACCCTCTGTAGAGATCTCCTAATATAATAAAAACACCCTCTGTAGAGATACCCTAACACACAAAAACACCCTCTGTAGAGATACCCTAACACACAAAAAACACCCTCTGTAGAGATCTTTTAATACAATAAAAAACAACCTCTGTAGAGATACCCTGACACACAAAAAACACCCTTTGTAGAGATACCCTGACACACAAAAAACATCCTCTGTAGAGATTTCCTAATACAATAAAAACACCCTCTGTAGAGATACCCTAACACACAAAAAATCACCCTCTGTAGAGATCTCCTAATACAATAAAAAACAACCTCTGTAGAGTTACTCAAACACACAAAAAACACCCTCTGTAGAGATCTAATACAATAAAAAACACCCTCTGTAGAGATACCCTAACACACTATAACCAAACTTTGTAGAGATTCCTTACACTCACAAAAAACAACTTCTGTAGAGATCCCCTACACAAAACCAAACTTTGTAGAGATCCCCACACAAAACAGCAATCTCTGTAGAGATTCTCTACTCAAAATACCAAACTCTATACAGCTCCCCTACACAAAAACCAAACTTTGAAGAGATCCCCTACACAAAAAAAAACTCTGTAAAGACCCTACACAAAAATACAAAGTTTGTAGAGATCCCTTAAACAAAAACCAAACTTTAGAGAGATCCCCTACACACACACACACACACAAATCGGTGAGATCCCCTACGCAAAAAATCAACCTCTGTAAAGATCTCTTACACATAAAGTCAAACTTCATAGAGATCCCCTAATACACCAAAAAACCAAACTTTGGACAGATCCCTTAATACACCAAAAACGAAACTTTGTAGAGATCCTTTAATACACCAAAAACGAAACTTTGTAGAGATCCCCTACACCAAAAACGAAACTTTGTAGAGATCCACTACACAAAATCCAACCTCTGTAGAGATCCCCTAATACACTAAAAAAGTAGCCTCTGTAGAAATCCCCTAGTACACTAAATCCAACCTCTGTAGAAATCCCCTAGTACACTAAAAACTCTCTCCATCTAGATCACCTACATAAATATATTTTTTGTGTAAAACGATGAAACTTTTATTTGAGGATTTTTTCCCAGTAATTAAATCTAGAAATTAATCAGTCACCTTTTTGTGGTATAAACTGGTTATTTATAGTTGGTGTGTTTTAGAAGTTGCATTTTCCCTTGTGGGGTATAAAAGATAAAGAATTTCCAAGCTCATTATTCAGAATATCAAATATGAAGATAAATAATGACTCCAAAAACCTGTTCTCATACCGAAAGTTCTTTTATTATTTTTAAACGTATAAATGAAAACCAAAAACATAATAACAGCGCTAGAAGCCTTCGATCCCAACTTGTACTTCATCTTTGATCTTCTGGTGGATCAGCTGTCCACTTTTCACTAGATTTGAACTCATTCCCTGAACTAAGGTTGTTCTGCCAAAGAACGTTCAGTTCTCATCTGATATTTCTCAGAAGTTCAACGGTCAGAAAACGTTTCGATTTTATGATTTCGAGTCTCTAAATGTGCTCAGCAAGTGCTAAGTTTCACGCACAGTACGTAAACGTGATACTTGTTCTGAAGAGGAGTTCCGTATCATATTCAGTTAATTTTAGCTGTAATTTTACGCCCTCTTACTTCTCTCCGAGTTTACTTAAAGAACCGACCTAATAGTCTCGTGTGTGGTGTATGTGTCTAGAATATCACAAGTAGGTTTTCTTGCTCCTGCAGTTTAACGATTGTCCAGTACTTAAGTTTCATTATGCTCTTTTTCACAGACGCATATGCTGTTAGTAATCCATCTTGATAGATATTAGTTTTATTTTATTTCTCAACTTGAAAGTCTATACATTAAAATTATAGTACAGGCCGCTGGTTTATCACACTTACTTAGAAAGTGTTGTAAATATCTACATCAACAGCCTTAAACTTTAACACAAATTAACGAACACAAACAGCCAACTGACGACTTAACCATTAAACAAACGAGGATGACATGAGGGGGTCAGATTCGAACGCCGACCTCCCTATGTCACTCCACGGGGGGAGAGGAGTCTAAGAGTATGTTTCAAGTTTGGTGACAATCAGGCCAGCAGTTTGCCAATTACAAGCGGAAACACCCCCACACATACAGACTTTTGTCAAATAATTGGCTAGATTTAGTAAAACTAGTTGTGCTTACTGATGTATATTACAAACGAAAGTTGCTTACATTTGCAAGAACACTTGCTAAAAAAAAGTATGACTAGCATATTTAACTGAGCAAAGTAATTCACATAGATACCAGGGATTCTAGAAATGGCATTACATAGATACCAGGGATTCAAGAAACGGCATTACATAGATACCAGGGATTCTAGAAACGGGTTTACATAGATACCAGGGATTCTAGAAATGGCATTACATAGATACCAGGGATTCAAGAAACGGCATTACATAGATACCAGGGATTCTAGAAACGGCATTACATAGATACCAGGGATTCAAGAAACGGCATTACATAGATACCAGGGATTCTAGAAACGGGTTTACATAGATACCAGGGATTCAAGAAACGGCATTACATAGAT